GTGGGTGAAGGGGATAGATGCCCAGCAGTCCCCAGCATTAATTTTACCAAACTTTTATTACTTGTGTCAGAGCAGCTGCATCTCATAAAAATTGTTCACATCACTTTCAGTGACTCTCCACTTAGAAAAGGACCACAGGTTTAAGCATCAAATACCAGTGAGGAGGCATGGCTCAAAAGGGGGTGTGCTTTAGTTGAATGGGATAGAGGAAATGAGCTGTCTCACTCCAATACTACTGTATAGTTGAAAGCAGGCTCAAGCAGCACTGAAGGGAAAGCCCACAGGCCAATTACTCCAAGCCCTTGAATAAGGAAGGGAACCAGAATGGAAAGCCTGTGGAACATGGGAATGGCCTATCTTTTCCAGAGTAGTAAAGTGGTCCCTTGCTGCTGAGAATGAATTCACATTTCTTCCTTCCAGTAAAAACATCAGTTCTGTGTTGTATTGAGACAAAATACTTAATCCCCCTAAATCTGAAATGTTGAAACTACTAGCTCAATAGTTTTTACAAAAAATTCCTCCTGAAAATAAATGAGGTAGGACCCCCCCCCAAAATGTAATTATCTTCTGGAGGGTAGGCCCCTTTGTAGCACAGGCTTCCCCCTGCTAGATGAGTGTTCTAGGGGAACCCATATGTATCAGTCTACCAGCTGGCTGCTTGTTGTGAGAGGCTGGATTCAATGAATTTTTTTTGGAAGATTCAACACATTTGCCCATTCCATGATGGGTGATGTATGAGCGCACCTGCCTACACCATGCTGAGTGTTCAGTAGTTTTTGACCAAAAAGCAGCATGACCCCAATGCTTCACCCTCCCTATTCACTCAATCTCACCCCAAACGACTCTTTTTGTTTGTTTCCCTGAATGAAAAAAGTCTTGCCATTGTGGAAGAGGTAAAACAAAAAGTGGGAGTCACTAAAAAGGCATCAAAATTGATGAGTCTAGAAACTTATTTGAGCAGTAGAAAAAACATCTCCATAGGTATATTGCATCAAATAGAGTGTACTTTGAAGGTGACTGAAGTTTAAACATGTAGGAATAAATACACAATTTTTATAAGTAAATTACAAGGTTTTTTGTGTTCCCCCTTATTTTCCTGATTCTGAGGAATATGAGAGCCAATTCACTAAAGTCAAATGATTTATCTTAGAACAGTAGACAAAAGGAAACCCCAACTCTGGCTTCCAGCCACCAGGAGTGTTTATTAATCAGCAACTGTTTTCTTTTTTTTAATTTGAATTTCTATCTTTGCCACTTTTCCTTGAGCAAATAAGTTTAATTGAATACAAAAATAGCATAGGGTCATTGAAATCAGGACTTGTATCCTAAAACCTGAATAACTTTTTGGTTGACCTTCATAAAATAAAAACAAAACAGAGTATTTTCACCTTTTTTATAATGATTTTGTACCTTTTAAGAAGTCAGATACACTATCTTTGATTTTATTAAGCCCCCCCCAACTTATTTTACAGAAAATCTGAAGTAAAATGGATATTAGGATTAGTTGGAGAGTGTTATGATGCCACCCTGTTGGAGCCATTCTAGGACACTGGGACTAAACTACACAGCAAGAAACATTTTCTCTCCAGGCCAAAACTCAACACACACTGCCAGAAGTTACACAACACAATACCTTCTCCTCTGCATCCACTGCATTGGGTGTTTTGTTTATTAACTTTTCTAAATACTATTTCCGGTGTGCCAAACTGATTTTACAATCTAACAATGTTAAAAAGTATTACCTTAGAATTTATTATTTTCAGAATTAAGAGCCCTGCCTGTGCATATTTTAGCTACATGACATTTAATACTCCAAAATATGCTCATTTTTAAATACCTTTTTCTTGATTGATTCTCAGTAAGTCAAGAGAAGTTATATTTTTATTCTTTGTCATGATGGTAGTTTTAATCCAGTAATAAGGCCTTGTGGTTAAGTTCTTAAATTGAGTCAGCAAAAGCAGGAAGGTGATTGCCAGCCCCTGGTGCTAACATAAGATCAGGGACCTTTTATCTATAGCCACACTGAACATGTAAAAGTGAATATTGTTTTGTTATGTCTGCACTAACACTCTAATTCTCCATCCTCTATTTTATTGAGGTATCCTTGAGACTTTAGGTAGCAGGAAATGTTGTGTTACTTGGGTGCCTTACATATGTCATCTTTATTTATTGTTTTTCACAACAATCTTCTCCACCTTAACTTACATACAATACATGCTATTAGAAGCTCTGCAGGGCTAAGGGTGTGCTGTGGATCTGAGCCAGGTCGGGGCTGCTGCTAATCCCTTTGGTGCACCTGGCTTTGCTCCCTACATATGCTCTCTCTGTTCTCAGCTCTGGATCTCTGAGCTCATCCTGTTGCTATTACTGTTCTTTGTGATTCTCCTACCATTCACCCAGCCTAGGACACATGCACTCAAATGTGAGAGCCTGAGAGGCAGAGCAGGAAGTGCTTCGAAGTGAACAAAGGATGAACCAAGGTTTTTAGTACTGTTTCTTCTGGTTCATTCCTACAGTGTCTGCTGCAAGGCCTAGAGTAGAAAGATACCATTTTACCATGAGTTAAGCCTATCCACAGACGCACTAAAAAAATGACTACAATTTGGCCACCTCAGATAAACATACAACCTGTCTTTGAGTCTTGAAAACTAGGTTCAACTAAATTGCTTTTTGTTCATTTTCAGAGTATCTAAAAAGAGGAAATTAAAAAAATAATTTGCATGCATTGGAAAAGTAGGAAGAATTTAAGAAACTTCTCACTAGGTAGTAGAAAATTTAGTATTTCTGTGTATTTTTTCCACACCTAAAACAATAATAATTTATCAATATCATCAAATACACAATCAGTGTTCAAGTATTTTTACCATGTTTTTTTAAAAATCCAACCATGCCAACTATGCCCACTCTACCCAACTATGCCACTGCATTTCATTTGGTTTATATGGGATGTCTATCCAGAGAAAGTCCAGCTGTGGTTAATATAGCAAAAATGGTTTGTGCAACATTGATGTAACCTGGCAGACAAGGTGAGTGGATTGGAAAGTGTATGTGTGAACAATGATGGTTTCACTATACTTGTCATTGGGGGCAGTAGACACCACAGAGTGAGCATGTGTACTGTGTGGCCGTTGCTTTCAAAATGATTGAGTGAGTACAGCAATGAATCTGCATCAAATTTTGAGTTAAGCTTGAACATCCCTCCCTGGAAACTATTCAGATGATTCAGAAGGCCTACAACTATGGGCAACTGGTGATTGGCAGCTTCATCACAACAATGTGTCTGCTCATGCATCATGTCTTATGCAGTTTTTTTGCAAAACATCAAACTATCCAGGTGACTCAGCCCTCCTACAGCCCAGATTTGGTGCCCTGCAACTTCTACTTTTTCCCAAAACTAAAATCACCTTTGAAAGGGAAGAGATTTCAGACCATCAATGAGAGTCAGGAAAATATGATGGGACAGCTGATGATGATTGGGAGAACTTTGTGAGGTCCCAAGGTACCTACTTTGAAGAGGACTGAGGCATCATTGTCCTATGTACAATGTTTATTGCATCTTCTTCAGTGAATGTCTCTATTATTCATATTACATGGCTGGATACCTAATGGACAGACCTTGTATGTCTCCAAAGTAGGGTAACCATATCATTTATTATCTAAATTAGGAAACTTTAATAACAGAAGTGAATTCTATTAATAATTATACTGGAACAACAGACATAAACCTGAATTGTCATGGACAAATAGGGATATCTGTTCACTACTTTAAAAAATTTATGTAAAAAATATGTAACATTAATTTACCATCTTAACCATTTTTAAGTATACAATAATCAGTGTTAAATATATTCATGTTATTCAGATCTCTAGAGCTTTTTCATCTTGCAATATTGAAATACTTTACCCACTAAACACTAAGACCCCTCCCCCTTCTCACCCAGCCTTTAGTATGCACTGTCCCCTTTCTGTTTCTATTATTTTGACCACTTTTGATACTTCATATAAGTGGAATCATACCTGTTTGGCTCATTTCACTTAGTACAATGTCCTTAAGGTTTATTCATGCTGTAGTATGTGATAGAATTTCTTTCTTTTTAAGGCTGCACAATATTGTATGTATATGTCAGATATTCTTTATCCATTCAACTATTGATGGATGTTTGGGTTGCTTCTACCTCTTGGCTATAATGAATAATGCTGTGATAAACAAAAGTGTTCCAATAACTCTTTGAGATCCTGTTTTTGTTTTTTGTGGACATATAACCAGAAGTGGGATTGCTGGATCATATGGTAATTCTACTTTTAATTTGTTGAGGAGGCTCCATATTATTTTCCCTAGTAGCTGTACCATTTAACATACCAACTAACAATGCACAAGGGTTCCAACTTATTCACATCCTTAACTAAACACTGTTATTTTCTGGTATTTTTTTATAGTGGACATCCTGATGGGTATGAGGTGATAGCTCATTGTGGTTTTGGTCTACCTTTCCCTCATAAGTAGTGATTTTGAGCATCTTTTCATGTGCTTATAGGTCATTTATATATCTTCTTTGGAGAAATGTCTATTTAAGTCCTTTGCCCATTTTAATAAGGTTATTTATCTTTTTGTCATTGTCAAGTTATATAAGTTCCTTATATGTTCTGGATATTAACCCCTTATCAAATATATGATTTTAATTATTTTCTTCCATTGCATAATTTGCCTTTTCATTCTGTTGTTTCCTTTGACACACAAAAATTTTAAGTTTGATGTAGTCCTATTTGCCTGTTTTATATATTGTTAACTGTGCTTTTGGTCATCCAAGAAATCTTTGCCAAATCAGAAGTCTCAAAGATTTTATCCTTTGTTATCTCCTAAGAATTTAATAATTTCAGGATTTAGATTTAAGTCTTTAATCACATTTGAGTTGATTTTTCTATATGATATAAGGGTCCAACTTCTTTCTTTTGCATGTAGCTATCCAGTTATCTTTGCCTTTTTTTTTTGTAATCTATAGAAACAAAAGGCTACCAGTTGCTGAAGCAGTCTGCCCTTGAATATAATACCAATCAAACTGAAGACAGATTCCAAAAGGATGCCTCTGCCTCACAACTGTCAGTAAGCAAGGGAGGATTCAGCACTTGAAATCAATGTCTAGGAGACCCAGGGTGGTGGCCAGTGCTGTGTTCAGGGAAGGGTGGTCATTCCTTGAAGGTTTCTAGAGTTTGCTTTGTAACATTGTCACTTGGTCAGAATGAACCAGTATTTTTTCAGTCATTAATGAACGTGAGTTTGGAAAAGTCTTCCCTCCTACGTATGTACTGGCCCCTCAAGGTTCAGATTCTACCTGTGCGTATCATGATAGTAACTTGTCACTAAATACCACAGAAGATACCTCAAAGTACTTTTCTTACCATATCTACCAATTTCTTTTTCAATTTTTTTTAAATTTTAGAGAGAGGGGAAGGTACAGAGAGAGAGAGAGAGAGAGAGAAACATCGATTGGTTGCCTTCCACAAGTGCCACAGTGGGATACGGAGCACACAGCCTACAACCCAGGCATGTGCCCTGGCCAGGAATTGAATCGGCAGCCTTTCAGTTTTTGGGATGACACCCAACCAATTGAACCACACCTGCCAGGGCATATCTTCCAATTTCTTATTCATCAATGAAGACCATCATCTTAAGCTATCCTCCCTCACCAGAATTTTGGGGTTTGGGGTGGTAAAAACTAGTTTTAGGCTTTCATGAATTTTCTTTAATCTAGAAAGTTTAAGTGTAATTTTCTGTTTTTTATATTTTATTGTGCTTTTATTATTTTCAGTGGTTTTCATTTTATTACACCCTTTTCTTAGTATATCACCTCAGTTCCATTTGTGAAAGCAAATGAATTAATACAGAGAGGTATAAACATCAACAGTACTTTTACATAAAACACCATGCCATAATTTCACCTATGAGAATGAACAATGATTTCTTAATAGCACATAATGCCCTGTCCATACTCAGATTTCCCAGTTGCCTCAAAGTTATATTTACCAGACAAACATTTTTTTGAGGGACATACTTATGGTGCATCAGGCTTGTCTTTGAAGAGCTACTTCCTAGATAATATTAGTGATAGGATTAGTTGCTGAAAAATTTATTTATTTTGGTGGTTTTGAGAATTCAGTGAGCCACTGCAGGTTAAATACCAAGTACTGTGCCTGTTAGTAAAAGGCCTCCAGGGAGGGCTGGCTGTGTTAAAGATGGTGGTTATTTGAACACCACAAACATGAGATGTTGTAGTTTGTTGAGGTATAAAACAGTGCCTCTGCCCCTAATGGAAGTCTTCATCACTTTGGAGAGATACAGCACTTGTGAGCCCTTAAATGTTTGCTTTTCATCACCTTCTTTACATTTGAGTCACAGAATTAGAACCCAAAGGGATCTTAGAGAGTATGTATCCAAACCCTTCATTTTACAAGTGAGGCCCCAAGAGAGTAATGTCTCTTTCCAAGCATTATAGCTGGTTAGCAGACATACATAGTTTGGAAGGTGACTCCACAAATATGTTTTTGGTAAGTGTATTTTTGGATAGTTAACTGGACATGTTCAAAGGATGAGTACATTTGATATAAGTTGTAATCCATTGGATGTGTATTAAAGTTATAGTACTATTAATATTAATAATTAACATATTTTTGTTAATTTATCATAAGTGAAGTGATACTTTATAGGTTTTATAGTAAAATACCCCTAGATTCAGTTTGCTCAGTCCATGCTCAAAATTACAGTACGTGGTTTGCAAGATTCTAAATTTTCCATCATCAGCATCTTATAAGTGCTTCTAATACTGTTGGCTGTCATAGTTAGATACTACCTTTAGTATTTATTTTACATTTGATCATGCATTACTTTTTCATTCTCATTCTCACTCTGATACTAAGGACTTCTCTGAGCTCCAAAAAGAAACAGGAAGTAGGCTGGGAGGGCAGAGGGATATGGAAGCCAAGTACCAGTGTTAGAATTCATAGCACTATTCCAGGTAGTGGTGGGAATGTGCACTCTAAACTCAGGAGCCACCCCCAAATCTAACTATTGAAGAAGAAGTGTATATTTCAGCTATTTTCTACATCAGATGTCTTAGGTCTTTGTCTCTGGACCTATCTCTAAAAAAAGCCACTTAAGCCTTGTGCCTTTTTTTTTTTTCGTATCTGAAATTGCCTGGTCCTATGAAGCAAATGCTGACCCTGTTCAGGCCGAGTTATCAAGAGAATCACTCTACTACAGAGGTTATATATGCAGACAAGCAGATTACAGGTTAGAAACTCAGCAAATGACTTTTGCTGAGATACCCATGCACTGTCTATCTGTGATCTTGGGTAGCTGCCAGTTAAGAATCAGATTTATAACAGACATGTCCAAGGCTGAAGATTCTCAGGATGCACAGGTCAGGAATTTTCCTGCAAGCTGGGGACACCATGGAGTTCCCCCAACTCCAGGGAAAGAGGTACATTGGGCATCTTCCCAATCAACATTTTCAGGCTGGTTAAGGAGTGCCCTTGAAGTTTTTCAGTGGAGATTCAATCTCCTCTGCAAGATGGAAAAAGAGGATTTGGCAGAGAGACTTAAAGATGAGTGGTGGTGTTACAGAACCCTGCCTATGCTGTTCTGGAACAGCTGTGGGGTTTGATTGCCTACCACCAAGAAGTGTGACTCCCAATACAAAAGTCTGGTGAAAAAGGAAAGGGATTGTTTATTTAAAGGTTATACAGATTCAGAATGATGGCAGATTTGTGATATTAAATCCCACTCCCTTCATAACACCCAAAAACACATAGTCCTGCCCCCCTTTGCCAACCCAGGCCAGTTTCAGAATATGCCAGTCAGAGGTACCATCTTTCAAAAAAGCAGAAGTCCATGGCTCAGCATTCCCAGCCACAGTTCAGCATCCCAGGCTTCTCCCACTAACCTGTACTTGATTAGGCAGGTACCACAATTTCCAGCTCCTCAGCTGTGCTGCCATGTTCTCCAGCCAGGTTTCCCAGTGGGTCTCTTCTTTCTTACTCCAGCTCTTAATCCAAAACCACGTAGCACCTCCTTACACATCAGACCTGTGGGGGCCCTTCTACATCCTTTCAAACTTCATGGCCACTATATTGTGACTCCCCTCTACTCTCTCTCCTTCATGGCAGACCAGCCCCTATTTTAAAATGCTGACTGAGAGCTTCCTACATGACATCATATTCAGCACCACATGTTCTGAAAGTCACTTAGACCTTTTACCCAGGTGGTAGCATTCTTCCCTTCAGGAATGACATGGCTATATCCACTTGCCATTGTTATGAAAAGTATCTTAAGCCATATCATCCACTTTACCTTCCCCCAACCAAGGGCTGCGGGGACTTTGGGGACCCCTCACTCTGCACACAATTTCAGTGTGGGCAACCATCATCTAGTAGTGTCAGTTATTTTTGAGACCTGGTTCCTAGCACCCATTATCTTAGTTTGATGCTGTATTAAGGCCCATGTGCTTACATGTGCATCTTGGCCATTTAAAATGGTGTTCTTTGAGCCCTGGCCAGATGGCTCAGTTAATTGAAGTATTATCCCACACACCAAAAAATTGCAGGTTTGATTCCCAGGCAGGGCACATACCTAGGTTGGGGGTTCAATCCCGGTTTGGAGTGCATATAGGAGGCAACCAATAGACATTCTCTCTCTCTCTCTCTCTCTCTCTCTCTCTCTCTCTCTCTCTCTCTCTCTCTCTCTCTCTCTTCCTCTTCTTCTAAAATCAATAGACATATCCCCAGATGAAGAATGAATGAATACATACATACATACATACATACATACATACCAACATGTTATTCCTTGCCTCAAGCTCCTTGCTTTCTGTGGCTTGAACAGCATCTTCCTCTTGTTATTTGTTTTATCAAAGTTATTGTGAGGTCCTTTCTTCATTGCAATCATTGCTGCATGGAGGCTAATGTTGTGTCTCCTGTTTACACTTGTCACAGGTTTGAACATTGGTAGCGGTACATTGAAGATAAAGACAACTAACAAAATTATTTCAGAAGCTAGTTTTTCATCTAGCGAAGGAAGTCCTTTGTCAAGGTAAAGTCATGAAAGCCTTTCTGAATAGTGGCAACAAGAAGAGAAATGTCACTGCACAATGAATCAAACTTTAGCTACATATTATTTTGTTGTGTGACTTGATAGAATGTTATGGTTTGGGGGTTTTGTTTATTTAAACTAACAGTTGAAACTTTAGTTTACATTTGCAAATATTTGCACCAAAGCCAAGTATGTTTTGCAGCTGTTGTTTCCTTGGTTTAAGACTCAATTGACACCTCAGTGAACCACAAATTAGTGTCTACAGCTGCTCGCAGTAGGGCTGCTTAGAGGCCACACAATGGAAAAGGGCAAAGAAAAAACATCAAACCTTAAAGGAAATAAAGTGGCCCATTTTTTCTTTCTGAGACAGCTGACATACATGCCAAAAATTGCTGGATATTTGGTTTTGTACTCCTTTTTTTTTTTTACTAAGTATTTGGGTTAGATGCTTTCTTGTTTATTTTCCATAAGGAACAAAATTTATTTTTTCACATTTGTTAAACTGTAGCACTTGTACATTTTTCAAGCAATGATAAGTGAGTTGTAAGCTGGATTTGTCATCAACATTCAATACTAATGATGCCGTGACATTGAGTCACTTAGGAAGAATTTATAGATGGGAAAAGCAGCAGTCGTCTGATGAAATACCAAATACCTGATTTGGATAAATATAATTCAAAGCAGGACAAGTTTCCTTTTCTAGTAACATTTCTCATATTAAAAAGTCCTTCCAATGATTGCATTACATTTGAATTAACTGCTTATCCCATTGAAATTTTAAAACAAGAACTTTACATTTTTAGTATCCTAAAAGATTAAGTGATTTGATCCAGAAATATAGTATTTTTAAAATTCTTTTTTGTTTATATTTTGAAAAACATTACAATATTTTTAGGACCTGGGGTATTTTAAAATAATAGTGATTTTCTGAAATTGGATTCTTGCTTTTAGAAACCTGATAAGTTCAGTTTTAGGGAATTATTTATTTAATTATCAGAAATGATTATCTTTAACACCTGGGTTTTCATCCATGTTTGTGAAGAAAGTGAAAGATAAATTATGGGTCAGGAAGAGTATTATGGTATTATATTTCCATAATTATACTATAAATGCAAGTTCTAGGTCCTCTAAAATAAATTTTAAAAGACAATAAATTCTACAGGTATTTTTTAGGGCTTAATGTTACCATTTGGCATAATAATACATACATTTAGTTTTTATAGATGGTTAGAAATGTTTTTATTATATTTTAAAGGCATTGAAAAAACAATTCTTCATAACCTTTTCTTTATATATATTCTTCAAATAATTTTTAAATATATTCAGAAAGCTGTTGGATTCTTAGAGCATTTTTTCTCAGCCTGATCATTTTATGTCTTACATCTATATTTCATTATAACATCAAACTTTTTTCTTCCATTTGAGGCAGGGACCTTTTGTTATTATTGTTGTTTGTGCATGAAATTAATTTCTTAAATAAATTACAATTAATCACATCACCCCTTTTAAAAAAAAAAAAGGTCTTCAAGACTCCTTGATTCTAGTCCAGTGAGGAAAAGGTCTGGGTGCCCAGTAAGTGGGTTTGGATTTATCTGGTTTTGTTTTTATGCTGGGTTTGGTGTTGTTAATATACCACCTTGGGCTTTTGAGAACTCCAGTTTTGCTGTTTGTGCCTGGATCCAATGAAATTATTTAGAGGCTTACATTTAAAGATCCCACTTACTGCAGTCACTCCTCATGCTTTATTGCTTTTACAAGTGGTCTCAAAACCAGTACTTGAGAATAAACATAACAGTGCAGTGCTGCAGTAGCACTTTTAAAAATTCTTCTTCACTCTTTGTCAGTGAGCTGATGAGCAACCTTTAAAAAAAAAAAAAAAAGACCCTGCTAGACCTTAAAAAAAAATGGCTTCCTCTGATGTCCCAGAAACAATAATTATGATGTGCTAGTTAAGCCCAAACTACAGCTGAGGGATTTTACTTTAAAGCAGCGGCTTGGGTGCAAAACTACATTTATAGCTCTTTGTCTGCACCTCATTATGTGTGGGCCTGATTCATTAAGTAATTGGTTTGCAGTTGTTTACATGAGTATTAAGGCCTTCTTTTCAGCTGCCTTTGAGAGATACATTGTGCAAATGTTGCCTGCAATGAATGCAGAATGAGGGCCAGAGGGTCCATCCTATTGGCTAAACAGTGTACTCTGTTGAAAAGCCAGAGAAAGGGATTGGGTGCTGCTTTGCATAGCAATGGCTTTCTTAATAAGCGTTACAGTTTAATACACACAAGCTATAAAAGATGCAAAGAGATACTCTTAGCACATTTATACATGCGCATTTCATTGTGATGTGGTAGGGTCCGGATGCTTTCATATGTTTTTCAGAGCAGCGGCTTCAGTGCATGAGCCGTAATAGAATCCGATGTTTATTGTATTATACTGGTAAATCACAGGCAAGCAGGCAGATTGGCAACAGTTTATTATTAAAGATTCTTTCAGGGTAAATCTTTTTCTACCATTGAATCTGCTTCAGCAAAATCATTTTGTGGTTGAGTGGGGATGAAAAGCATAATATACGAAGGAGTGAGTCCTAATAGGAAGCCGTTCTCCGAGTAAAGACCACTTGTTCCCTTTTGTTCAGGGGTGCATGCCAGAGCTTCCTCTCCTCTGAAAACAGTCTTGCTTTACCTTCCCCAGGAAGCGGTTTTCACTCTCCCAGATCCATTTATTCAATGGAGAGTATATTTTAACAACCTATCGTGTAACTTCAGTTTACTGGCTGGATCAAGATAACGTTTTACCAAAAGAAAGGAAGAAAGAAACGGTTTACCAAAAAAAAATGTATGTGTGCTTACCACATAATTGCCTAGGGGAAAGATAGCCAAGTTCACCCAGCCATTGCAGGCACCCTGGGAGGGCCTCCTTGGGTGGCATTCTGTGCCAGCCCTGCAACCATGGGAGTGGCCAGCGGAGGGCGCCGGGCTGCAGCTGATGTTTGGTGGGGCTGTGGTATTTTATTTCGTCACAGGTCATTTCCCCCTGGGATGATGTGAAGATCACAAAAAAATAAAAATGAGGTTTTCTTGATGTGCTTTAGGTTCTCATATAAAAGACCCCCTTCTCCATCTCTGACTTAGCAGACCTGCAGCTTCCTAAATAATCCACATATTTTTCATCACAAACTGGTATACTTTACTTTTTGTACGCAGAGCACAAAAGAATAATCTCTTGATTATCTGAAGGGAAGGAGTTAAGAAGTTGACCCCAGGCAACTAAAAAATGGCATCTGTTGCAGGGCGCCTGGTTAACCATCAGGGGGCGCTCAGACTTTGTTGAATTAGACTGTCTCAGACTTTGGTCTGCCTCTAAAACTTAAAATTAGTACTTACAGATATTTGTTGGCACACTTATTGGGATTTATTCTTTTTGGATTATTTTTAGCTTTCTACTTTTCAGAAACATGTCTATTTTGAGGAAAATTCTAGCCAAAGATACTATGTGAGACATTTTAATATTTTTAACTAGCAGTTAAAATCAATAAAAATTGTAGAATTCTGAGTCTAGAGACCACAAATTCTCATAAATTAGTTATTTTCAGGCTTATAAAAAGACTCTAGAACAGGAAGAACATTTCCTGCTGAAGCCTTTTCTCATTGTCCCCAACACTATAGACCATGTTCTTGGCAGGACACTCAGTCTCATTGCCAAATTCAACAGGCATGACCTCAAAATCGCATTAACTTGGGTAGTTTGTTAATGGGCAGTGGATATCTTTTTCTTTCAAAGAAATGATATTGACCTTGAAGTTGAGAGTCAGTGTGTTATTAACGTTAAAACATCCCCCACATCTGCTGTTTTCCAAATTCCTTCTCTCTACAAGCCAAGAACCAGTGTCCATCACCCTAGCCTGTTTTACCTCTGTTGCTGCCAGTTAGGAGTTCCTGTTGCCTACACCCCCTCAAGCATTGAGTGGCCTGCACTCTGCAGCACCCTCCCAGCCAGCTGCCCCAGGTCTGTGTGCTCATTGGATGCCCACATGTCATTTCTTTACACAGCATGCTATGTTGTGTGTACTGGCTTTTATTCCTGTGCTTTTGCTGGAATGCTATTGCCACACCCTTCCACCTGACTGGTGCCTACTAGATTATCAAGGCTTAACTTTTAACCTTCTGAATGTTCCCTGAGCAGAGGCTGTGGTGCTGTGGCTATTTCTGTTATCAATCTGTTTCTGGGAGCTCCTCACTGAGATTTGGGTGGCTTTTCTCATTAACCAGTACTCAATAACCGTTGGATTTCCTGTGTGAGTAATCAGTACTATATAGCTCCACCATTCACTCAAACATCATTTCTTTTTTTTTTTAAGTATATTCTATTGATTATGCTATTACAGTTATCCCAATTTTTACCCCTTTGCCCCATCTACCTGGTATCCCCTTCCCTCTAGCAATCCCTCCCCCTTAGTTCATATCCATGGGTCATATATAAGTTCTTTGGTTTCTATATTTCTTAAACTATTCTTAACATCCTCCTGTCTGTTTTGTACCTACCAATTATGCTTCTTAACTCCTGTACCTTTTCCCCCATTTCCCCCCTCCCACCCAGCTGATAACCCTCCAAATGATTTCCATATCTATGATTCTGTTCCTGTTCTAGTTGTTTGCTTAGTTTGTTTTTCTTTTCATTTTTTTATTCAGTTGTTGATAGTTTTGAGTTGTCATTTTAATCTTAATAGTTTTGATCTTCTTTTTCTTACAGAAGTCCCTTTAACATTTCATATAATAAGGGCTTAGTATTGATGAACTCTTTTAGCTTTGCCTTATCTGGGAAGCATTTTATCTGCCCTTCAATTCTAAGTGATAGCTTTGTGGGATAGAGTAATCTTTGTTGTAGGTCCTTGCCTCTCATGACTTAGAATACTTCTTGCCAGTCCCTTCTTGCCTGCAAAGTTTCTTTTGAGATATCAGCTGATAGTCTTATGGGTACTCCTTTGTAGGTAAGTCTCTGCT